GGGGAGAGATGGGGAAGCCGCAGGGAGCCGAAGGGAGAGAGGGGAAGCGGCCGAGGGGAAGCCGAGGGGAGAGGGAGGGAGAGGGGAAGCGAGGGGAGAGGGAGAGAGGGGAAGCGCCGAGGGGAGAGGGAGAGAGGGGAAGCGCCGAGGGGAGAGGGAGAGAGGGGAAGCCGAGGGGGAGAGGGAGAATAATATAATATGCGGAGTTTGCCTTAGTTGACCATATTCCACCAGATGGAGCCAAACTTCAACAGCTAAAGGAGGAGCTTAAATATAAATATGAACTTCAATTAAATTTAAAACAAAAGTGTTAACGATCCATCTGATTACCTGACCATCACCGTTATAAGTGGTTGTCAGGGTGACAACCCACCCAGACCCAGGAGACCACTTAAAGAGAATTAAATGCCCAAGATCTTAGACCTTACAACTGAGAGTTTGCATCTGATATGACACCAAAAAAAGAACAGCCTATTTTGCGTACATCAGAAATAGGACTCACACGCCGAGCAGGGTCAAGGGTGCCAAGGCATAGACCACTTGGACATGAAGGCAAAACCACAGAAGATAATGCCAATCTTTTCTCTCAAAAATAACATTGAATAAAGAGGAATTAAAACCCTAAGCCTCAGCCTTACTTTTGTACCTACAGCCAACCCAAATTTATTTCAATGGAATGTGGAATTACAAGTTTTGGACACAATGCATTATTATTTTTGACAAAGCAGTAACACATCAGTAACGATCATGACAGCAGAAAATAAGATTAAATCAAAAATCCACTTTTGATCCACACACACAAAGCCCTATTAAGACATTTTTGTTCACAGTCAACCATGCGAGATACGTGGAAGTCAAGACAAAATGATGAACTACAAGACACCATCTTACCAAGCAACATCAAATTATTGATGACTAGCCAAAGACCCCTTTATAGTCATACATCCAGCTGATAAGGAGGAGGAGAGATCATGGACTATCACAACCACGGCTGGGAACTGAAATTTCAACTTAAGGATCAAGGTACATACAGGTTGTTATCAGAAGACCCTACACAGGAAATACTACATAAAATCTAATACATTGTTTCCATGGGCAGGATATATTGATTTACCAACATAATACCTCATTCAGAAAACATCCATGTAATCCTGTAATTTACTTCATACCCAAGGTACACAAGAACTAATCCACCAGGATGACCCATTGTGTCAGCTTATTAAGGGGTATTATAAACAATATCCAAATGGCTAGACTATCACTTTAAAGATACAGTGGAAGCTTACACGCATTAAAAGACATACACTTTTTTCTAATATTACACTTTAGCTTCAAAACTCAATGATCTCTTTAAATTTCCTGCATTTCCATGGGGCAATGATGGCTCCTTCCATGTACGCAAACTGGTACATGTTTGCATTTAAACTAGAACATATATTTTATCAAAATATCAACACCAATCATAAGTTACCATAGATACATTGATCTATGTATTGATCTTCTTCTGAGCGGAAGTATAGCAGAAGCCCAAATCAATAGTAGAGAAACTAAAACTCCAACCAAGATGACGGCAAGTATTAGCACTGAGGTGGTATATTATTTGGATCTTGAGATCAGTATCAAAACAAAGTAGCATGTTTTAATGCTAAACAAAAAAAAAAAAATGTGTTATTTGCTAGTCCATACAGATCCAGTAAAAAGCCATCATGAAGAACCCAAGACACAAATACGGGCAATGAGAGATGTTTGGGTTGTGTCACCTCCAGGCAGATGGTGCCTTCCTGCATTTTTAAGCGCGCGCACATCATCAGGATAAACCACACAAGATATACCATCACGTGCAAGACACCCTACATTATATATAAACTCACATGTCCCTGTGGCTTAGCCTATTTAGGCTAAACAGAAACCCTGTTTTGCGAACGCATGCGAGGACACAGGTCTAGCATTAGAACTATGTACAGAGATAAGCTGTCTGATAAACCTGTTGCACAACACTTTTTTAAATTCCACCGCCCGTTGAAGTCATTAAAATTTGGCTCACCCCCACGCAGGTGAGTAAGTCTGCAACCTACAGCTGAATTAAACAAAATGTATCCAGTTAAAAAACTTTATTGAATTGAAAATAAAAACAATGATACGAATTTAAATAAAGCTGGGAAGACAAAAAATAGTTGAAATGTGTATGGCAAAAAAAAAAAAACAAAAAAAAAAACACACACATCCCAACGCTGTATGATCGTTTAAAAAAATAAAAAATAAAAACAACTTAGCCATAGTATGAAAAATAGAGGGAAGAAAAATCCCTTATGGTTACTTGCTGATACCAAATGACAGGGTTCACTAAACAGTGAGAAAGGCAGCCATATCTTTAAACAATAAAAATACAGGTGGCAGGAGGGTCAGGCAAAGGTGGTCTGAATATTAACAGTGGAGATCAGCAATAGATAAGATTTAAATTGTATAGGGTAGCTATAGCAGTACAAGTTAAATAAATACAGTGATAGTCCCTACTTATGAAGATGATATCTTTCTTCCACAAAAAAATCCCTAAAAATATCTTTGTTGGTATAATGGGGTAAAAAGGGAGAGTAATCACCCCTGTAGGAAAGGTAAAAACTCTTTAATACTGAATAGCCTTGCTGCTATACCCAAAGTCTCCTAAGAAACACTTTCATGGTTATTCTAAACTGGTGTCTTACCAGCAATCAACCCAATAGGGAAAATACATTTCCTTAATGCTAAGTAGCCTTGCTGCTAAACCCCAAGTCTCCCAAGAAACACCTTCATGGGTGTTTTAAACGGATTTCTTATCTTGTTTGATCCATGCCCTCTGTTAAAGTAAATCCACACCGGCAGATAAAAAAAAATAAAAAAAATAAAGCTTAAAGCTTCAATAATCATAACAATTCACTGTACCTCGTGGTTAAATACTCCATCAAAAATGAAAAAGTTGTGAGTAAGAACAAATTGAAGGAGATTAATGGTAAATTCACTATGTTTGTCAAGATGAGTACCCCTCTTCTTCAGGAAATAGCTAGTATGTTTTAGACCCAGTGGGTGAGGAATCAAGCTATATAGAAGCCCCTATGTCCATGCTGCAAAGTATTAGCTTATCAGGCATATTTACATGGGCCAAGTCTGCTAAGGTTTGTTTAGTATCCCTCAGATACGAAGGTAGTCTGACTACTAAGGGTCTTAGACTACAATCTACATATATGCTTACGTTTTGGGTCATGTTGTAATTTCCCAATACGATCGGTCTCCCTAATAGTACAGGATGTTTATGTATTTTAGGTAAGCTATAGAAAGTTGCTATGTGTGGATTTGTATTCAACATGATTTCATCTTTAAAAATGAAAGAGTTTACCATTCAATCCTGCTTGAATTATATTTTTTAGTTTCTCCGGGAAGACCTTTATGGGGTCAGATTTTAAGATCTTATACGTGTTTATGTCAGTAAGAATTTTTTTGGTCACCTCCACATATTGAGTGGTATCCAAGATTACGATATTCCCCCTTTATCTGAGGGTTTAATTGTTATCCCTTACTTCTCCTGCAAACCATTTAAGGCTTAAAATTATTTTAGGGTTAGATTGAAGTTTGGTTTGAGAGTTAATTCGGGGATAGAGATGTTGTCAATTTCCTTGCATGCCAGTTAAACATAAAAGTTTCCACGTATTTTAGAATCTCCCAATCTTTGGCAGTATTCACTCTTTTCTTAGGTCTGTGATTGGACCGTGGGCTCCCTCATCCCTATCATCTTTTTTCTACTAGTTCTGCTAACATCAAAGTTAGTGGATAGTCCTTCGGCTCGAGGCCCAGTGATTTTGCTTTTTTGTCGCATGTGGTTCTTATGTAGTATCAGTTTACATGCGAACAGGTAGACGTCTTTGACCCAGTTGAACTTATCGAAGCATGGAATTGGGATGAACGAAAGACCCTTTCCAAGTACTCCAGGTTTTAGTTGGGTCAGGGTGTGTTTGGAGCGGTTTACAACTGGATTCCTTTATAAGATCGATTCCTTCGATTGTATTGCCTCCTGGACCTTTGCCTCAAATAGGCCTGTTCTTTCCCTAATGGCTTGTCAAAAAAAACAAAAAACGAAACAACTCACTCCTTTCTTGAGGATACTTCTATTTTGTTCATTGAAGTTGAGGGAATTTGCTGAGCATCTGTATCAGAGCTGCTTGTTCATTTTCAGAGGTTGAGACTTGATCTAGGTCTACTTTTCTCTTTCTTTGTAATTTCCTACAGATGTTTCCAGTTTTGAAATCTATGATCCCTTAAGTATTTTTGATGTTTTGTTTAGTTATAGCTTGGTAGTTTTCCCCCAAGTTGTTTTTAAGTTTATTCTCATTTAGGCTACAAATTGGATCTCATTTAAATTGCTGGATTTTTTCAATTCCATGGTCTACTTTTTTCTCTATATCGTAGTTTATTTTCAAATTTGCATATAATCTGCATAAAATCAGGCCGAGCATTGACCAGCAGCTTCTTCCCATTCCTTAACAAATTCATCCTCATTATTGTGTGTAGTGGAGGTTGTTGGTACTCTCAAGCCTCTTGGTACAAGTCCTTTTTTGAGATGGTTTTCTAATGAGGCAATTTCTCAATTAGTCCTAATCTGTTTATATAGGTTAGACAATTGAAGCCTGCTGTCAGTGAATAGTTAGATTCATCGGTCTCTAAGTTGGATTCAGGAAATACTATATCTGCATCTTGACACCATTTAGAAGTGTCGTTTGTTGGAAAGGAATCCCACCATGTTTATTTTAGTATTATCTCTTAACTGACCAAATAGATTCTGTTGTGAATGCTATAAATACATCAATAGAAAGAAAGAATAGTATACTATGTCACCCAAACCCTAGCTCATAGGTTTGGGGACAATGAGGTCAGGGTGGTGGGGTAGAGAAACTGCTGCAAAAACAGGATTTTTACTGTAATATAGTGGGTCAGAGACAATAGGCTAACACTCATTTGCACATCGCAGGTACACCGCCCGGTCTGGTATCAGGCACGGCGCTATGTTAGAGGAGAGTTCTGTAGCCTCCAGATTGTTAAGAGACCGTGGGTCTTGGTTGGAGTTTTGCGTCTCGCAGTTTGCCCGCTGTAAGCCATTGGTCTGAGGGCCTTGAAGCTTTTGGCTTGGGTAGGCGGCATGTATAAGGGTCTGGAGCTTGCGATGGCCCTGTAGCTGGGTGCACCACGCAACAAGCAGGTTGCCCATTTTGTGCACCTCTTTTAGTAGGCCCTTTCACCAGCCGTTGTTGGACTCCTCAGACCCCCGGCTGGGGGTTGACTTTAGTTGCTGAGAGTCGTCGCTGCAGCTTCAGCCAGAAGCACTTAAAATTTTTAATCAAACCTCATCAGGGAGTCCGCTGTGGAGTCACGGGCCCTCGCATTGTGGTCGCAAGGGACTGGCATCCGCCATTTTGGAGCATCAGGATTGAGGCAGTGCCACTTCAGCAGTAGGATAGTGTGAGCAAGGTCTCTGGGGGAATGGGAGGACGCCCGTTGGTCTAGAGGGGTGAGGGTAAGTGTACCACAAATCCTAACCCCTTAACAATATGTATAATAGTCCCACAGATAGTCCTTAAAAACAGAAGTAAATACCTCGGTTTTCAGAGGTAGATTTTGTGTAGGTAAGTATTTATTTTATTTTTTACAACTGGGGCTTCTTGGTTCATTTCAGATGTATATGGGAGACAAAAAGTAAAAGGAAATCCAATGGTAAAGTATATCAGGCAGGATAGGTGCAATTAAATAATATTCCCCTCACAATTTGTAGAGCCTAAACCAGCTCTAGCGTGTAGTGCCTGAAGTGGTACACTCCCACTCAACAATATAATGTTAGTATTCCTCAATTAGGAGGAGGTGTCAGGAGCTCACTAGGAGAAATAAAAAAAAGCAACAATAGTGCTCTCTGTAAAATCCACAGATAATTAAGAACCAAGATAAAATATACTCATAAAGGTGGAGCAGGCAAACAGCTCTTTGGTTACAGTGTTGGTGGAATAATCCCCACCTAAGATTTCTTTGGAATAAGGATGTTAAAATAGAAGTAGCCAGGAAGTAGTGAAAGAGGTGATAATAAAAAGGTAATTGGCACAAATAAGTGTCAAAAAATACTTTATTAATTTTATGCATATTAATTTTGTTAAATATCCATAATGTGTTTCGTCTCAGACTTATTCAAATGAAATGTAACAAACTACCTGGCTAATAGGCTTTATATAGGAGTAAAATCAATTAAAATTGACACCAAAATGTGTCCGCCAATCAGAACCATGCATATATACACATAAAATCATTCATTATATTTTATTACACTATAATACTTCGCAAGTAATTTTTGTTTAAAATTTAAAAAAAAAAACAAAAAAACGAGGGAGGCAAAGGGATGAATACAGAAATTTGTAAGCACAATTTTCTGGGTCATCGAAACTTAGCCTTATGAGAAATGTAGTTTCCGTCTGCGCCATAAGGTGTCAGGGTTTGGAGATTATATACCCATTCCATCTCTGTTATCCCAAAGTTATTCTTAATATCTCCACCTCTCCAGGGAATAACAATTTTTTATTCCTACACATTTTAAACAGTTTTGAATCTTTATTATGCATGATAAAATATTTTAACACAGAATGGCTTAAATAGCCCAAAAAAAGAAAAATGCAGAAAAAGAAAAGTTAGAAAGATCATAACCACACTTACTGAAAGAATGCAGCATTTTTAACCACGCACATATATCGGTTTTAAATAAAGGCCTAAAATTTGCTCCAACTAATCATTTGAGGCCTTTTTAGACGTAAATACGTTCGTTCGAAAAGCCACTTTGCCGACAAAAACTCATCCATTCCCCCACCTGACCAATCTCCTGTTTTAGTCCAAACAGAACCTCAGATTGTTAGTAGTAATCTTAACGAGAAGTCCAAGTTTTATCCCTCAAATTTTAAATCTGCTCCATTGGTAGTGTTTGGAAAAAATGGTGCTACAAGATGGCGAGAAAATTAACTAAAAAAATCCAATCAACATACCCTTACACAAATAGAATGACAAGCAGTAAAGCAACTCCAAGAAGACAAGAGTATAGTAATCAAACCTGCGGACAGAAACTTCATGACACCAAAGTTTACAAGAAATTATCCCCCACGCAAAAGATCCAAGATATTTTAGTTACATTTTATAATCAAGGGCTTAACTCCAATATTTTAAACAGGCAGGAATTTAATGATCTTAATATAAAATATCCGAAAATTCCCATGATCTACTTCTTGCCAAAAATGAGAACAATTCACCAGATAGACAGATTGTGTACGGGATCAGGTCCCTTTTATGCAAGCTCTCAAAATACATCGATATTCTCCTCCAACCATCTGTAAAATTAATGAAGTCTTTTCTTAAAGACTGTCACTTTAGAGATTTTAAAGTCATTTTAGTTGGCAACAAGAGTTTATTTTAGTTACATGTGTCGTTCAGTCTTTATATACATGATAATTCCACACAAAAAAAGTTGCCAAGCTGTCAAGGATTTTAGAGAGAGAATGAGAAACATCCCAGATATACAACTAGAATTCATTGATATTATTCTCAATTACTTTTGGTTTTTAGATCTTTTTATCTTAAAAAAAATAAAAATAAAAAAATAATAAGAGGCAGCACTATGGGGACCAGGCTTGCCCCAAGTTATGCTAACCTTTTTATGTCAGATTGGGAACTAGATGCGGTTTGGAGTAAGCATGCATGGTCGGCAAACATGGTTTCCTATTTTAGATATATAGAAAAGTTTTTTATATGGAAAGGTACTGAAAATTCTCTTAATGATTTTATAAAGAATCTTAACACCAATTATAGAGGTATCATTTTATCAGTTGAATACAGTAGTGAATCTTAACTTTTTAGATCTACAGAGTACATACCAATTTTTGTATTTTTTTTTTTTAAGAAAGTAAGCACAAATACTGTGATAGACCAAACAAGCAGTCATTACAAGCCTTGGCTATAGTGTTCTCCCAAAGGCCAATTTTTAAAACTACGCAGAAACTGTTCTAGGATAGAAGATTTAAATATTCAAGAAACTTTAGAGAGACTAAGTTTAAAAAAAAAAAATAAATAAATATTCACCCATGCACCTAATTTTAACAATAAGAGTAACGATATTAAAGGAATAAAAAAAAACACACCACACATTGGCACTTATTACAGCAAAATGAAACCGTTAAGGATATTATACTCACAAGACCAAATACTTTTAGAGGTGCCCCAAATTTTAAATCCACTCGGACCACAGATGTTACAAAAGAACCACAAAAACATACCTCCTCCTTTCTAAATGAATCTAAAGGTTTTTATAACTGTAAACGCTGTGTAGTATGTAGAAATACAAATGCGTTAACACCCACTAAAAACACCCATTTTACCTCTAAAAGAACCACACAAAAAAAAAAAATATATATATTTTTTTATTATTATTACCTGGAAAAGTGGAGATATTAAAGAATATCCTTGGGAAAAACAGATGGAATAGGTATTTAATCTAAAAACCCTGACACCTTATGGGCTTAACATTGATTTTGACTTGTTTAAAATTATATAAAAAGGTTTTTATAGTGTATTGTATTAATCTTGGCTCTATAACCCATATCCATCTCCTTCACTTAGTTTTTAAATTTTTATATTATCACTATCTACACTACTGAGTTACAGTATTTTGTAACATGTATTCTTTGACTACTAGTTGTGTTTTATAAAATCCTCTTTTCCATTCTTATTTCCCTTTCCTTCAGTCAATTTGTTCCTTTTTATATGCCCTTTGCCACTTGTATTATGGCTAATTAGCACTAGATTTGCTTTCTACTAGGTGGCTGTAATATATTGCACAAGTGCCATACATAATATGGCCACATAGCACCTTATTTGCCCCTCCAAAATATGGCAGCGATAGGCTGACAACCTAAGACCATCTCTACTTGGAAAATTATATATATATATATATATATATATATATATATATATATATATATATATATATATATATATATATATATATATATATATAAAAATCAGAGGAGAGTCAGTAAGCTAGTTGAAAAAAAAAAAAAAAAAACAGCAGAGCAGGGCATGCAAGTAAATAGCTGCATATATGCATGTAAATAAATTGATCCAATAAAGGTGAAGTTCGAATATTGAAAACTATACAAGACATTATAATGTGTGTTTATATAAATTTATGCTGAGCTCAGCTCTTTCCTCTGCAGAAGTAAATTACTTCAATACCCTCATAACCACGAACCCAAACAACTATTCCACACATTTAACTCTTCTTAGCCATATTGTTCCTCCTCCACCTACAAACTTTACTGCCTCAGACGTTGCAACTCACAATTTCCTTTCTTCCCCTAACCTCACTCCCTCTGCTGTTCTATGTTCATTCGCACCCGCTACAGCGGAAGAGGTTTCGGCTCTGCTCCAGTCCTCCCGCCCCACCACCTGCTCCCTAGATCCAATTCCCTTGCAACTCATCTGTACTCTGTCTTCTCTTTTTCTGCCTCTCACTAAAATTCTCAATCTCTCTCCCCCCTCTGGAATATTTCCATCGCCCTTCAACCATGCAACTGTAACCCCAATTCAAAAGAAGCCCAAACTTGACCCCAATTCCCACTCCAACTACCGTCTATATCGCTAGTGCCTTTTGCATCCAAGATCCTTGAAAGTTATGTATGCGAGTTTGACGTCTTAGAGTCCAATTCTCTGCTAGACCTGCTTCAGTCTGGTTTCCGCGCTTAGCATTCTGTGGAAACTGCACTGACCAAAGTATCCAATGATCTACTCGCTGCAAAATCTCGTGGTCACAACTCTATTCTAATTCCCCTTGACCTTTCTGCGGCTTTTGACACTGTCGATCATCAACAGCTTCTCATCCTCTGCAATATCCGTCTACAAGATATATTGCTGCCTGACTTTCAGCTCCTTCAATCTCTCCCAGCACTCTTTCAGCATCTTTCTCTGCTTCTCCCCAACCCCTCTTTGTTGGTGTCCCCCAAGGTTCAGTCCTTGGTCCCCTACGGGTCTCCATCTATACCGCCTCCCTTGGTAAATTCATTAGCTAATTTGGCTTCCAATATCATTTCTATGCAGATGACAAGCAAATCTACCTGTCCTCTCCTGATCTCTCCCCGTCCCTCTCGACTAGGGTCTCTGACTACCTCTTTGCTATTTCTAACTGGATGG